GTAAACGAAATACGGTGCCAACTCGAAAAGTAAAATTAATTTCTTCGAAGTTTATAATCTAAAACAGAATTTCCTTTACAAACTAAAAATATTTCCTGAATAGGCAAGTGGACAATTTTTTTTTATTACTTTAATAACATCTACTGTTTAAAATAATTGACCCGTATTTTTTATTTTTTTTTATTAAATGTCTTATGCTTAAAAAAATTCGTAAAGTTTAAGCGCTCTTTAAACGGTCAGATATTCCCGCATTTTCCCAAGCCAATTGTATTGGCTAGTATTCGCCGTGACGTAACAGCGTAGACAACACAGATTCAGCGAGGAAACATGCTGCATTGCCATGTTTCTACATAATTAAGATAATATTGTGTTGATGTAAAGCAATCTTTTATTATACTTATTATAGTATTATATTTCAGTATTAGTAAACTATTAGACATTAATCGATGGTTAAATATAGGGAATTCTTACATGCTTTGTGTTTATATTTGTGTTAAAAGAAATTATTTTAAAAAGCCAGATATTAAACTTCAGGGGAACATGCTTCTTTTTTAGAAATTTGGCAACGGAGCTAGTTGAATATTTAACCTTAATGTTTTGTTTGTTGTTTTGTATATCATTACATTATTTTGAAACTTAAATGTCTGTAAAGAAGTGTTTTGTACCTGGTTGTGGAAATGTTAGTGAAGTTGCAGTTACGCAAATTTACATTATCAATAATTATAACACCTGCACTATAATAACCTTGTTTTAGTTTTCTACCCTGGAATGCGCGCGTCGTATCTACGCTGTTACGTCATTATGAGACCGCCGATTGCTTTCATTTGAAATACATCCTCATTTCCAGCATTTTCATTTCACAATTAAACAAAATATGGTTACTAAAATTATATTTTAGTAATATTTATAGTGAATTAAAGGTCTCTACTATAATACCATGATGTTTCTTTTTGTAATTTTGAAGTTTGAATAAAAACTGTGAAATTTGGTTTTTGCAAAAGGTTTTTGGTTACACATTTTGTCATAGAACATGAGTTTACAACATGGATTGTTTAACATCAAAGGTGTTTAAAATGCAACGAAACTAAAATCAAAGAATATTTACGTTTAAAAAACGTTTAAACGTAAATATTCTTCGCTAAAATGACAACGACATAGCCGGTACTGAACGCAGGCGTAGTTGTGTTTAAATCACTTTTCTGTCACTGAACGCATTGGTGATAGAAATTGTTAAATAATATTTAGCACTGATCGTGTCCCTGATTGGACATTTGACGCAAAGAAGTTGAAAATATTCAACTTCTTGGGCGAGTCTCGACCATAAAACTAAAACTAAAAGTTTCATGGTCGAGGGAGCGAATCACCAATCAAAAACAGGCGACGCGAGACGCAGGAAGTAAACGAGGTCCGTAAAACCACAGAACAGAAAAAGACGTAAAACTCCTGAGAGTATAAAGATACATTTATACTCTCAGTAAAACTCCCTACGGACCGCGGGAAGTAAAAAGTTGTTAGAACCACAGAACAGATAAAGAGTGAGAACGTAGCTCCAGAGAGAAAAGGAGAGAAGTGATTTTATCTGTTCTGTAATGATATTCTGTACCATAGATAATGAACGCGTTTGGCGAATGCAACTGGTGAGAATTAGCCCTCAATCCGTTTTGTTATTTGTTAACAGGTGTAATTTCGTTAAACACAAGATATTGCCTATGCTGATTAGAAAAAACGTAAAATTTGTCGATGTCTATTTTGAGCCGCAATTTCCAGTTAGCGCATAGTTAACCATCTCGTTTAGTGAATTGCTGCCGGTCAACCTCCCAAGTCCCAACTGCGTCCAACTGTTGTGTTTACTAAACGCGCCCATTTCTGTACCAGACAAAGAAAATTTTAATATTGTGTTTTGTGTAATTAATATCCGTGTTTATGATCGAAGTTAATATCTGTGAAAGTAACCTATAATTCTGAATGAAATATATTTGTTTTAAAAATATTAAAATTTACCTTTTACCAAGATTATGAATACTTTGAAGTCATTAGGTATACCTACTTACAATGCTGTATATAATTCATTATTTCCAAATTTATTAAAGAGGACTGTTGCATATAAAAGTGCACTGTCCTTAAATAATTTGTATCCCAACAGCTCTTTAAAGCTCACCACTCTTTCATTGGTAAATATGGCTACATCAAACTATATTTTTGTATTGCATTATTACTTGTAGCCGCCAAAACATGGAAATGAGAAATTTAGTGGTTATATTCCTATAGAAGAACTCGATATTACATTTAGTAGAAGTTCGGGGCCTGGAGGTCAAAACGTAAATAAAGTTAATACCAAAGTTGATGTCAGGTTTCATTTGCAATCTGCTAAGTGGCTCAGTGATGAGATTAAGGAAAAATTGTCTGAGAAGGTATAAACATAGCTAAATTTCAGCGGTAGATAGAGTTGCTAGATTTCACAAAATTGTTTCTATTTTTAACATAAAATTTCACATGTCGCTTTAATTATAAGGGGATCAGAAGTAATAGTATTGGGTGTCACATATAAATATAAAACATTAAAATATAAATTATAGTTGAATCCTTTTTTAAAATTACTTTCTAAGTAAATATTTTTCATTACTTTAGCATTTTACCATAAACTTAATGGATTCCAGTGTAAAATTAAGTTTATATGTTGATATCAGAAATAAGCCATATACAAGTTATCGTGTGTCGGTATTTATTATTATTTGAATATTTATTGCAATTTATTTAATTTTAATTTCCTATATTTGGTAAAATTAGAAAGGGCACAAAACCTGAAAAAGTTTTAGCTCAAAGGAGTGTTTAATCTATAAACAACCTAGGAGGATAGAAAATATGAAATTTTGCTAAAATTCATGAAAACGTTTTTTATTGGGACTCCGACCACTGTTCAGCCATTGTGCAAGAGAAGAATTTAAAAAACAGGTACATGTTTGACGTTTTTTTATGACACGCCTTATTTTCTTGTTTCCATGGCAATCTTTGCTTAAGTCTAATACTTAAGAATTAAATTTCTGAATGTGCAAAATTTATAAAAAATATAAAAATACGCATATTTTGACGAAACTCAGTATCTAGGGGTATTTTTTGATTCTGAACAACTTTTCTTAATAATTTTTTTGCTGTATCTCTGACGCTAAGTAAAATATAGAAAAATCACATTTTTAACTGAACTAAGTGGGTTGGTGTGACAATTGAAAATATATTAAAATCATAAAAAGATGCTCCTTGAAGAGTTTCATAACAGAGAAAAATTTTAAATCGATCTGTCGAATAATAACCGAAATATCAAGGCGTGTCCACTTGAGACGGGACACACTGTAGTTTTTGAAAAAAAAAATAGTCTCGATTCACAGTTATTTGGGAAATTGCATTATTTAATAAAATGAAAAATGTGGATTAAAAAATGATGCTTAGCTTGAGCCCAGAAAGAATAAAGATTATTTGATAGCAGCCTACCAGTCCTTTTCCATTTTATTAAATAATGGAATTTCCCAAACAACTGTGTAGATTGAGATTTTTTTTTTTTTTCAAAAACTGTCAGTTCAAGAAAAACTAAAAGAGATAAAGAAGAGTTTCTAAATGAATCAAGCCTTTCGGGGTACATTTTTTATATGATAAAATTCGGGTCCATTAAAAAGTTCTAATAAAAGAATAAAATGAGGGATTGCTAATTTCACCCATTTTACCGATAAGGGATGATTGAAGAAATATCCTTTAGAAGCGTTTCTATTAGTAGAAAATCTCTAGCAAAATCGTTTTTTATCTTTTTTCGAATTTGACAAAAAAATTAAAAACCTAATTTTATCCCCCATCTTTGGAGGGGCGTAACTTTTTAACGAAGCATTTCTGGACATACCTCCATAAGAAACCTTTTTCTTATTTTGAGGTTCTGAATTTGTTTGTCCAGTGAATCCTGAAATCCTATACAGGGTAAGTCAACAAATCGATGTCGTTTCTGGTTAAACCAGAAGTCAGCTCTGGAAGTTCTTATGTTTCATGTAACTACTAGATGTATCACTATTAAATCCATGTATAATACGAGCTCGGAAACATCATTTGGCCCATTTGAAATTTCCAAATGTTCTTCATATATGGGCGCTATTGAAACAGGAAAAAAATAAATGATTGATAAGAACGACTTTTATACTTTATTCTAAATAATATGATTAACACGAGTGAAATTTTTTTATACTATAAACTACAAATACAACAAAAGCAAAACAATAACAAACTAACTGTGAATCGTATTAATTGGCCCAAATGAAAATCTCGTCATATCATTGGCCCAAGTACATCAACAAAGAATCACCATTGTGTTACATCGCCCTTTCTCTTTATGACAGCTTCAATACGTTTTGGCATTGTTTTTACTATGAATGAGGAGCATATTCCTATCGATCTATCTTTTAATTCTGAAACACTTCTATCCTGCCTCACTTTCAATTTCTTTTTTCATAACATGCCACAATGTCTCAATTAGGGATAAGTCAGGGCTGCTGAAGGTTCAGTCTAGTAACCTATAATATTTTATAAGACCGATTTAATATGATAAATCTACATATATTGCAACTAGACCAAACATTACGATTCTGAGCCAGTATACAGGATGCCAAAATTTTCAGTACATTGTTTTTTCCACTCCTCGTATATTTAAAATCTGACAAAAGTTTTCTTAACAGATTTGGTATCTATGGTAGAAAGTGTATATTAGTAGTTTTGAATTTTTTGTTTATCATAATAATGCCAGAAAATCCAGTATCTACTTTAAGTGAATCACCCTGTACATATCTTAAACAATTTAAACTTGATATAGTAAGTATATTTTGTTCTACAGCTATCTCTGTAACATAATTTATACAATACTCGTATTGCTTTCTTCTGTAATAAGTGTTGCTGTGCATCTGGTGTTGAACCCTAGTAGAATACCATATGATGCTGCGCTGTGAACATTTGCTAAGTTTGCAATTTTTACCGATTCAGTGGTGTAGTTGGCTAGCGCGTGTGATGGTAACTAGAAATTTAACTATCGTAGCTGCGGGTTCGATTCCCGCCATCGGCACTGGAAATTTGATGGGATTGGTTGTATGTCCACATTTTTCTAAGTGTAACCTTTTAGACAAGTTCGGCTTTGGAATCAGGGGTTGTCCAATTTCTGTAGTATTTATTATTATTGTTTACAGTTTGTTGAGTTGAGATATCAATAATTAGTATTCTGATTGTATACAGGATGATCTTCAATTACATCGAGAACATTCAGAAATTGATTCCTGAAACTATTTTGAGACGAAAAGTTAAAATCGATGGCTTAAACTGCAAACCTGCTAACTCCAAAAATGTAAATTTTACAGGAGACAATAAAAACTATTTACAGCTTTTGTAAACTTTAAATGTATGGTGCAATCACCATATTATAAAATTAAAATTAGGACGTGGTAATGGAATGGAAAATATTAAAATTTTATTATATTTAACTTTTTTTTAAGATAATTAAGGAGTTAGAAGTTTTTTTATAAAATAATGAGATAATTATTTTGGAGTTAGACGTTTATTCTCTAATTTCTAAACAATATTACTGTAACTTGCAGATATCATTAAACAAATATTTTTATCAAAAATAACAAACGAAATATTGGTTCTTATTATGAATAAAGAAAAAAACAAAATCTCACTTTGCGTACTGATCTATATATTAGTTTAAAGAATCTAACTTAATTTTCATACGGAATGTTGTCGTAATAGTCATGGTAATCAGAAGGAATCACCTTTTTTAATTCTTGAAGATGCTCATACTTCTTTTTTTTAATTTTACACCGGTTTGTGTATAATTTCGGTAATTCATCCCAAGTTCTTGTTCTAACTTCTCTATCTCGCCTTTGAGGTAGTAAGGTCCAGTCATCCGCACATCGGTAACTTTGGGGTTACCCTTTTTTTCCCAGGTCGTACCGACCTGAAAAATTCGACAACATCAAACTTTTTAAAAATATCATGAGTCAAGTAGTAGACATTATATGGCTCGGGACTTCTTCTAGTCTTGATACATACATCAATATACTCAGCAGGGATATTGATCACTTTATGCTTTTTTAGCTGTTTTTCTATCATGGCATGCATACTGTCGGCCTCCATTTGAGTATGACCAACTTCTAAAAATTTTTGTTCTATGGTTTGTCATGGCTAAATTAAGTAAAGCGTTGCTCATTGTGACATTTCGATTTTGATATGTACAGCCATCAGTGTACAATATTATTTTATTGCCGTCGCCCTCTTTTTTTCAACTGAGGTATCACTTTTTTCCAATAAAAATTTAACCACAATTGTAGCAAATTCTTCTGCATTTAGCCCCCCCTCCTCTGATTCATTCCATAAATAGCAAGTTCCTTCCTTAGATTTTAAGTTGAATAAACAAAAGTTGTGAACGCAAAGCTTAGTTTTGTAATATAAACTGGATACAGTGGATTGTGGTGATAAAAGAATAGCTTGCAGGTCCATAGTGAACACATAATCTTCTCTTTCCTTGTCTTTCTGTTTTTCTTTTGTAGCATCTTTTTCTTTTCAATATGTAAGGCATGTTGATCATTTGAATAGTGTCCCAACTTGTGTGAATCACAAATTTGAAATTGGTCCTTTTTTGGGCTGATATAAGGAGATGTTTCTTATATCCATAGCGTTATTAAATGTACATACAGATAGGGATTTTATATTACGTTCTTCACACCATTTTTTCACGTAGAAGTTGTAGAGGGCTTTTTTCGATGGCCATTCAGATAAGAGATAATTTTTTTTCTGTTGATTTCCGACCATAATGTGACTCCATCGTCAGCAATTCATTAAGAAAATCATTGATTGCTTTGTTTTCTTTCATGAAAGGATTGATTTTATTTAATTTTTTAAGAGCTGGTAATAACGAATCTTTTTCTTCGCTTGGTTCAATAACATCATTTTGTTTCAATGATTTCTTCCAATTTAGTACGCACCATTTCCCTATACACAATGTATTCAAAAACATTGTCTTACAGACTCTTACTAATCCATCCCCTTTTCTCAAGTTATAGATTACAGAACAAGTTTTTCTCGATACTGATGGATCTTCTCAGTCCCTGTGACTTAGTAGGTAAAATTTGTACCAAACCATCCACATAAATTTTTTTACATTTATGCACTTATAATAATGTTTTTTATATATTATTTTAACTTCTAAACTGAAAATTGGCAGCTAATAATAGAATTGTGAACTATTTTGGTTGATTCGCACATTGAAAATGGCTGCTGATACAGGAGTTAGAAGCTTTACAGTGTTGAAATTTTATATCGTGGAGATAGCTGGTATACGTGCCGTGAAATTTAAAGAAAACCTTAATGTCTTGGAGTTATTTGCTTTACCACACTATGGACTTTTATTTTTACTAGCAGATGGCACCAAAATCTCAAATTCCGTAAAAAGTGGAGTTAGCCGGTTTGCAGTCTAAGCCATCGAAATGAAGTTTTGTCCTTAACTTCTTCGTTTCAAGATAATGTTGATTATATAAAAAAAAACAGATTTTCTTTCCTTAATATCCCTGAAATGCCTTTTTATGAAACTCGATGTGCATAAGGAGTACTTAAGAGATTTATTATGGCTCTAGAAGTTTTTTTTTCTAATCCTGTGAATTTCTTGCATTTACATTAACTAGGAGATTAGTGTGGATAATGAATAAAACTGGACCTAGCAATGACTTCACAATAATTTCTGAAGTCATTGGGACCTAGTATTGATCCCCGTAGTACTCCTTGTGAAATAGGAACCACTTTGGCATATTTGTTATTCCACTATGTTGTGTGGCAGTGATTATTTAAATAAGACTTTATTAACTTATATATTCCATAATAAAATAATTTATCAAGAATTTTTATAATCAACCATTTCAAACGCTTTGCTTAGATCACGGCATATTATTTCAATTTCTTCCTTGTTATCAAGGGCTTTAATAATTTCTTCTACTACTTTGATTAGTGCAGTAATAGTTGATTTTCTCATTCGATATGTATGTAGCTTCCATTAAAAAGTTAGAATTTTTCAAAAAATTTTACTAATCTGCTCGTCTTGAAGATTTGTGAGAGTATGGATAGAATAGATATAGGTTTATAATTACTAGCATTTTTAATGTCGTCTTTTTTGTGTATAGGAATAATTTTTGCTACTGTTAGTTCCTTTGGGAATATGGTTTTTTCAGTGAATTTATTTATTATAAGTGTTAACAATGGTTATTTCATTCCAAATGGTTTTTAATAAATGAGAAGAGTAACTATATATTGTCATGTTCTCTATGAATCTAATTATGTCCTTAATTCATTTTCATCAAAAAAATTTTGTTTTAATTTTTTTTTTGCATACAAAAACAGTTGTCCAAATTGTGGTGCTGTAAAAATTCCGACATTTGCAAAAAAAAATGTGTTTAATTTGTCAACTGATAACGATGCGTTTACATCTTGAATGTCTTTTTTCTTTTAAATTTAAAACATTAATAAATGCAGTCTACTATAATATTAGTTGCTTGGTTAAAAAATCAGCTTGTATTTGTACAAAGCTAAGTGCTAAAATAACCACAGTAAACAATAATGTTTACTGTGAAAAAACGTTTAACGGAATTAGTAGTACCATTAAATGGTAGTACATTTTTACTAATTATTATCAGGTATTACCAGTTATTACGTATCAGCCTATTGGTGCTGCAAATTGATATACTTTTTTTACACTTATTTTCATCATAGTTTATTCTCTTATATACTTATGTTAGCATTTTAGGGATAAAAGTTAAATAACGTTTTATTTATTTTTTCAGATAAATTCAAAACTAACTTAGGAAGGTTATTTAATATATAAATCTGATCTTACCAGATCACAACAGTTAAATTTAGCGGATTGTTTAGAGAAGATAAGAAGCTCTGTCAGGGAATGCTTAATAGAAAGGGCTGAACCTTCTCCAGAGACGACAGAAAAAATCAGACGAAAGTTGGAACGTGCGGCAAAAGAACGCTTACTGATCAAGAGGCAAAGATCACAATTAAAAAATGACAGGCAAGCCCCACAAGTGGTTCTATGAAATTTTAATAATTTGTATAACTTTTTTCCATATTCATGTAATTTGTAAACAAAATTTAATATAGTGTAAAGTTATATTTATAAGTTATTGTCTCATTAGTGATATATTTACAGGGGTAAAAAGAAATCTTGAATTTCTAACTGTATACTGTTTTATTACTGTTGGGACGTTTCAGTTAAAATTTTTATCATCAGAAATTGTATAGAAATGTTTTTATATATATTTTGTTTTTTCTTTTTTGGAAATGATCTGAAGCCTTAATTTTAATTTATTTTGTTTAGAATTTGTTTCAGTTACTTAATTATTTTTAAGTAAGGTTCTTGATTGTAGATTGAGGAGATATATAAAATGTTTTGAAACATTGGTAACAATTTAATTTAATAAAATAGTATGTAGTCTGAAGAATTTGTTACCCCTGTAAATAATTTGTTAGCTAATGTACCAATAAAACCTATTTTGATGTAGATAATAATGACATGCAAAAGACTAATAAAAAATAGGTCGCGGCTAGGTGATCCTCGACAGTACTTTCTCATCATTTCCAATTTGACATAAAAGAAATAAATTGCTTTCATTGAAAATGCCATTTGCATTAATTTTATTTATTTATATAAAATAAACAAAATAAATAAGATAAATATGACAAATAAGATGAGATAAGCGAGACCAATGATACAAATGATAAATGAGAAAAACAAGACAATTGAGGCGATTGAGGCAAATGAGACAAATGAAATAAATATCATAATCATAATCTTATGCAAAATTGTCTAGAGTTCTTTTGACACATTTACTCATTATGAACAATGTTTATTTGAAACATTTTTTGGTTTGACGCCAAACAACATTTGTCCCCAGACGTGCCTTCCTTCGTGCACCAATTTCACTGATATTCAATAGGGTTCATCCTTGGACATCACAGATATTAATTTTATCTGAATGTTATTTATGGCATTCTCAAAATTTTTGTTTTATTTTT